GAGGACTGAGACCCCATCAGAGCTGAAGTGGGCCAGAAAGAGAACTGAGTCCTCTTTCAAATGTACTCACAGTGTGAACACAATAAGGACTGAGTCTCTTTTGTGTTGGTCCTGTTTTTGGTCCACTTTAAAAGAGGACTGAGTTCGGTTCATTTAAAAGGGACCAAATGTGAAAACACCCTTAGGCGACAACACTGCAGATAAAGCAGTTTGTAGTTGCATGAGCATCCTGAGAAATACTGTACCACCACCCACATCTCATTAATAATCCATCCATGCCTCCATGAACATCTCACCAACTATAATCTTCTCACTGCTAATTGCCATCACCCTCTTTCCTCCGCCTGTGTCTTCTTAACCTTGCATCATATTTTCATTAACCTTCTGTTGTTTGCCCATTGACTGTGTTTTTTTTTCCATCCCCGTCTCCTCACTAGGATGCTCCTCGGGGCCACAAGCCCTCCTCTCCTGACTCTGACTCCTGCTCTTCGTCTCCCAAGCCCCCCACCTCTGTTAGTACTCACCCCTAACCCCACCTCCTCACTGCCCTGCATGGGATTAACTTGGCCCCTGATTGTAGACAGTGGCAAGTTGCAGCTTATTGCAGGGTTTCTGCACGGGGTAGTTTGTAAATCATTAAAAAATGAGTGTTAAAGGTTTGTTTAGATAATTGTGTGAAAAGCGTTAAGCAGAAATAACGCTGCAAAAAAAGAGGAAGTTTGACCCTTGAGCCTGTGTAGAAGCGCTGTTAATAGGCACTACCGTCAGAGAACATTGTCTCTGGAATTGCTTTGTCTTGTTTAAATCACACAGGGCCCTTTTGTTGTCACTGTTGATCATGTTTTTGCACATTTTCCCTGTGTGTTTTAATCTAAGAAGAAAGATGGCTGACTAAATCCTGCACCAGGTGCTTTGCCAAGGATCTATGGTCTAACCTTTATGTTTCCGTTTTGTTTTAATCTGTCTGTGCACTTTCTGCTGCCTTTCCTTAGTTGGAATAATGAAATCGGTGGTTGTTTTGGTGGCGGGCGGTTTTATAGTAGAGTGACACATGCTTATTGTTTACCAGTATTTAGTTCTGACACCAGCTTTCTCTCTTGTGATCCTGCTGGGCTTGTCACTTTCAAAGTGATTGATGTGTTTGGGTCACATGATTGTTTAACCACGTGCACTAATGCCTGTTTTTCTCCGCAGCCCTCTGAAAAATGTGGAGTTCTGAATGTGACAAAGATCACGGAGAATGGCAAGAAAGTGCGGTGAGTAGCAGTGGCTCAAACTAGTGACTGTTAATACAGTTATTATTATTATTTATTACATAGTAAGTTGAACTTGACTGATACTGGACTTTTTGAGATTGATATTACTTGAAAATGTATCAGCAGGTATTTGTTTTTCCAATTCAGACCAGTTTTATTTGTATAATGCCAAATCACAAACGATCATCTCAGGGCACTTAATGTAATAAATAAGTTTTAACATTAATGCGCAACAACCAAACCATTTAATTGGATTAATCAGAAAAGTTAAAAGTTGACAAAGTTTTGTATTGAGTCTTATTCTGTATGTAATAAAAATCAAACCACACAGCAAATATGACAGTAAATCTTAAAATTATAAACTTTATTGAAAATAAAATTAATAGAATAATTAATAAAATCCATGAGAAGACAAATCCAATAAAATAATTACAGGTATAATAAATAAAGAAATCTAAGTCTCATTTATAAAAATATTCAACCCATAAAACTTTAGAAGTATAATAAACTAGCAGTAAATATGGAAAGTACATTACCTTTTATAAATTACACATTAAGGACAGTCTATATGTGCCAACACTATTTACCATTGTGTATCTTTCTATATTTTTATAGCAATCGGACAGTTCTTAATGCGGCAGCAGTGCAATCTGCTGAATAAAAACACAACCGCTTGTACAGGTTTGCTCAGTGCATTTATGAACCATCTGTTGCAGAAAGAACTGGACTTCTTCCTGGACAGTCCTACAAGGATCCTCACTGTTGTTTGCCAAAGGACAAGGAGCTGGGCCCAGCTGGGTGAGTGGCGCAAACCTTTTTCTGTTAAAAGGCACATTCGTTAGTTTTCTCTGGCCTTTCAAGCAGACAAGGCTGTCTTATCACCAAATAATATTATTCTGTATTAACATCTGGAGCTTCACCAAGTCTTAGCCTCAGTGCAACCCACTCTACAACGCAACCTACGCCAATGTTAATAACCAAGGTGCCGCGCACTTTACACACAACAGCTGAACAAATCAGTCCAAGAATTGCTTGTAAACTAATTTATTCATATTCAACTTGAATATTTAACAGATTTCTCTTACAGCTGTCATACTTTGGCAGTATGAGTGTGAAATTTGCCTTAAATTGCACTTGGTGTCCTGACAAAGGTCTTAGAATGTCTTACATTTAACTTGATGAAACTGCAGAAATCATGAACATCATGAACCATTAAAAGTCAATTACAACAATATGCAGGTGACACAACAGTTCTCATCCTCACAAATACTTTCAGGTGGTTTCTGATGATAACCTGGCTCTATTCGATTCTTGTCTTCTGTCTGTCCAGTTTGGAGGCGGTCAGTCCAAACCCGAGTTCACTGTAGATCTGAGGGGTGGCTCGGTGGAATGGGCATCTAAAGACAAGTCCAGCAAGAAGCATGTCATAGAGGTGGGGGAGAGCTCACATCAAGTTTATGTGCACTTCCATCTTTTCTTTTGTTGTTGTTTTGAACCTGGATTTGTGTAATAACCTGATTGAAATGAAAGGTCTCAAATACAAACAAGTGTAGTTTCCGAAATCTTCTTTTTCATTCTGAAACACTAAAAATTAAAGATTCTTCTGCCATATTTTGGGAGTAAATTTGTAAACACGACAGGTACTTTTAATTACAGCCATGACACACTTTATAAACACCAAGCTGTGACCCCACGTGCAGAGAATTGGTGATTGGAACTGAATGTTGTGTCTTTCTTGGTTGCAGGTGAAGACTCGGCAGGGCACAGAGCTGCTGATCCAGTCGGAGAACGACAGCGTCGTCACAGAATGGTTCCGAACACTGCAGGACACCATCAGCACCCACGTGAGGACCAACACGTTCACCTACACCAGACCTCTCTCTGAAAAAATGTTATAGTTTGAAAACTAACCCTGGAAGTTATGATGCTGTTTATTTTGTTTATCTTGACTCACTTGAATCACTGAGTTTAAAAGTGCAGAGGTTTTAACAGCCAGTCGTGTCTTATTTCAGGCCTGGGAGTCTGATGAGGCCATAGAGGAGGACATGCCCGAGTCACCAGGTGTGGAGAAACATGACAAGGAGAAAGAACAAAGAGACTCCAAGAAAGGCAGAGGTCTGTGTTAACCAGACGTTAAACGTATATCATGTCAAGTTAGAATTTAAGAGTTGAATGAATTGGAACATGGTGTAAACATGGTGGCACAACATATCTGAAAAGGAAGCCAAAAGATCAGAACGCACATTCAACAGTACAAGACTGAAAATGAAAGCATAAAGTATATAAAAACAGCCCAATGAATCACTGCTGTTTGGCTCAGTGCCTTGAGAGCCCCGTGCGTCCTGCTTGCTTATCAGTGTGCTGAGGTGAGTGGTGGACAATGTTGTCTTACCTCATCTCTCCTCTGCAGCTATAAAAACCTCCACCAGCTTGGATGTCTCCGACAACAAGAAGACCAAACACAAGCTGAAGAAGTTTCTCATTCGCCGTCCAACCCTGCAGGCTGTCAGAGACAAGGGATACATCAAAGGTAACAGAGCTGCACTGAGAAGCACCACCTTTTCTCACAGATTAAACATCTCCAGTTTGTCTTTGTGT